GTTCCTTTATGTCAATGTGTGTATGTTCTGTGTGTAAGTCTATAGTAACCAGGTGCCACAGTCGTTGTTTCAAGAGAATTTGTATTACATACATTACGTGTACATTGTATAAACCTCATCAACTTCTTAACAATAACATTTCTACATACAAAACTAGTCTATAAATATTAGAAATAAGTTCTATAATGGAGCAAGTGGAGAGTGGTTACCGGTGACTGCTTGGGGATTCTAACCCTCTTTCGTGTAAAGAAGATCCATAGTCAGTCTTCCCAACTCAGCACTATTACGACTATTGCTGACTTGGTCATTTTAAAATAAAATATTTGTGAAACAGCCTAAGGTGGTGACGGCGACGGACGAGGCCGAGCTCGCGCGGCAGATGGAGCGCGCCGAGGCCGAGAACGCAGAGGTCGCTGGAGACTCCGCCGAGGAGGACGAGGACCAGGGTAAGATTGTACTTCTACTTACCTTAATAAATATAACGCATCCCGACTCATTACGGTAAAGGTAGTAAACCAGTCTGTCTGAACTAGACCAATCGACTGTGCAGTAGATATTATAGTGCAAAACGAAAGTATGTGCTAAAACACGGTGCGCTCTGATAATCCGGTCGATAGTTCGAATGGCATGTTGTCTCAATCCATAGATTTTGGATTAACCCGTTGAAATCCACCCCCTAAATTTGGTCATACAAAAGTAGTCTCTAAACGTTAGAAAAAAGGTCTATAATGTAATGTAGTTTAGTATTAGTGGAAAGCGGTCACCGGTGACCGCTTGGGGGTTGAGAAGTTAAGACATCTATTTTTGATAGAATCTCCGTGGAACTAATTCAATCTTTAAAATTATCAATTAATTGGCTACTTTCGGACTACATACTGAACCGGGACTAGCACTCCCTGATATACCTGAATTTTATGAACTGCAAATTCGAAGCGCCTGCCAACAAGCATGGCGATTTTGAAATATCTGCTTAAAGTGCAATAAATGGCCTTCCATTATCCAGCAGTCACAGGCTGTTTAGTTTGATGTGAAACAAACCAAAAAGGTAATTTCTTTGATAATTAATAATTGACAATTCCAGGTATGGGCGACGTACGCATGGATGATGAGCCGCAGCAGAACGGAGCGTCAGATGAAGACGATGATTAGGTCCAACTATATGTCAACTCTATATACTATAATAATGGCAGTGCTGCCATGTTACTAAATAATATACACACGTTTTATACATATTGATTGGTTTTCATATTTCCCTTACGATGGTGGAATGGATGACTAGACCTCAATAGAGCTGCTTGAACTCCCTGTGGGTACTCGCTGCCCGCCTATTCAACGGTGACTAACGATCGTTTGGTGTGGTGACACCCTTAGATATATTCTGTTATATTAGGTACTCATGCCTTTCGTACTCATACATCAGCCTCGAATACAGAAAATCTTAATAATATTTTTGGCCCGGAAATTGAACCCGAGGCCCTTAACTCTACAGTCGTACTTGAATGTTGCGCATCTATAAAAGTCAGTTTAGCTCATATTCTAACAAAAAGAATTGAAACATCATGTCGAAACAATAATAATAAAATTTATTAACATAATGATATAGCATAAAGACTAGAACTTATTTACACAAACTACTCTCAATACAATAGATCTAAAATTCATTTAAAATAATATAAAAATATCCTCCGTGTGACAGCAGACTAAAATACATCTCTGACCACCACCATTACTATTTCTTGTGGGGATTGTATCAGCTAAGGGATTACATATTTCATTTTAACGGAGACCAGGCTGCAGCATTCTCTTATAAACCTGGTCCTTTTATGCAGTGATCTCCAATCCGCCTGCCAAGCATGCAGTCTATGGCTAATCCTTCTTTTGTTAATGTGGCCCCTAGACCATGGCCTGTATATAATGTAAAAATATAGAAACTAATATTTACTAATACGGAGGTATATTTTATACCTTTTTGCCATTTATTTTGTTAAGTTTACTTCTATGAATCTTGTCAAAGAACAAGAGACCTGCGGCTTTCTCGATTGACTCTGGTGGCACCTGCGACAAAACAAAAGATACATTATTTTAAAAAGTACTGAATACTGGTAGCTGACAGGTAGTCAAATTCAATAAGTACTTTTATTGAAATGTTAAAAACGATACTTTTCTGTGAATTTTGTATTGGCTTATGACGTCATCATATTTCTGCGTCAAATAGCATACTTATTTCCTTCCCTGAGGACACGGTGGAACACACCGTAGCGGAATGCCCTGCGTGGGCTGAGCACCGCCGTGCCCTCAGGGAAGTGATCGGCGATGGCGACCTCTCGCGTCCGGGCCTAGTGCAGGCCATGATGCGGAGCGAGGGGGACTGGGATGCCGTCTCCTCCTTTTGCGAAGCAGTCATGCTAGCTAAGGAGGCGGGACGCGTGAGGCAGCGAAGCGCTGCCTCCTCGCAACCCAGCCGTCGCGAAGGACACACCGGGCGTCGGGGATCGCGGGACGATCTCCGGCCACCGTAAGCGCGGTACTGCGGACGGCGAGCATGGGTGGCTCCCCGTCCGACCAGAAACAGACCCGAGCGTACGGCGCGTCGCGTTCCGCGCGCGCCTCAAAGAGCCATCAGACCACCACAGATGGGGCCCAATAGGGCCGATGCCGATTCGGAGACGCGGAGAACCTAACGGGTTACCGGGGCTCCGGCTCGACGTGCAGGAGAAGGAACGGGGTGGTTTTTAGTCAGTAAGAGTCTGACACTCCCTTCCGCCTCACCCAGGCGGGAGCAGTCATTCGATGATTTTCCCCCCTTAAAAAAAAAAAAAAATACTTATTTCCTTAAATATAGCGAGAAAAAATAGGTAAATTGTCAAATCAATGGATGAGAGAGTATGATTATTTTTTAATTATTTATTGCATTGAAAAGTTGAAACAAATTAGTTTTTAACTTAGGAAACTAGCCAATTGGTAACATCACATGACCGCGCGGGTTGACTTTGGAATATTTCTAAAATAATTGTACACGCTAAAAACCATTCGATTATCTTCAATGCACTTCTACGTCGCTACGAAAGATAATTTTTTATTATTACATGACATGTAACATATTTGTATTATAACTTTCGTGAGACATACTAAATAAATTATTATGTTCTCATGAATATGAGCCTCTAGCATGGTTTGAAACTAGTCGAGTTCCTCGTCAAATTATTGCGTGAGTAAGCCGAAAACATAATAATTGGCATGTAACATGTATTTAAATTGGAGTCGGGCCTACGGTAGCCACACACACAATGAAACACAATGCAAACGTTGTTCTACGTCGGTTTTTTGTGAGGCCGTGGTATCAGAACCGGCCCCTTCGTGCCGAAGCATGGTCTCCATTCACACTGTGTTATTCCAGATTCCAGACTATGATCTATCTCTGTACCAAACAATCAAAATCGGTGCAGTAGTTTTTGCATGAGAATAACTAACACATACACCGCGACAAAGCTCTACCTACTACGCTTCTAACACACTAGCTTCCATCACATTCAAGCAACTTTGAAACTTACCATGAAAGCAGACATGGGTGTCTCATCAGGTATCTTCTGGTTGGGCATGACGTAAGCTTCCATGTCTAAAGTACCATCCTTGCTCTCCCCTACTACCACCTTATAGAAGTGGGTGGGCACAGCCACTGTGTTGGCACCAATCACTTGATAACGAATATATGATTTACCATCCGACTCTCTCCTGAAAAAAGTACAA